CGGGGGCGCCGAGCTGGGGGTGCCTGCTGCTGGGCCGGGGGCGCCGAGTGCACTGAGCTGCAGGCGCGGCCTGGCGTGTCCAACATTTACAGGGTTCTGGAGTTGGGGCTGCCCGAGGAGCACCCCACAGGAGCCCCTGTGCCCATGGGGATGTAGGCCTGGGCAAGTGTGGTCGTCCTGGGCTGCCACCGACTCCCGTCGACGTCACCCTTCACAGGAAGGGGCGCTGTGAAGACCGGGTGGGCGGTCTAGGTGGGATTCTTTGGACACCTGTCGTCACAGGCACGCAGTCAGACGCCGAGCTGGTGCTGCGTCGGCAATTCACTCTGACAGAGACGGGGTGCAGGCTGCTATGCAGGGCGCTGCGCAAGGGCAAGCCCCTGGCCCTGCTGGCAAACTAGTCAGGCAGTGTTAGTCACCCGAGGAAGCAGAGGAGGGGGTGGGGGGCTGCACTTCTCCTCAGCTGAAAGCTTGGTATGTGGATCAAGCCCTGACTCCCCAACAGGATTGGGGTCTTATCAACAAGGCGCCCCACTGATCCGTTCCTGGGGTCCTTCGCTGTACATGAGTCCATGGCCTGCCGGGTGTTCCCACTTATACCTCGTGGAGTATAAGTGCATCCGTCCCCAGCCCCCCGGCACCCCGTTCCCAGTCACGCTCCGTGATGCACCCCTTCCCGGGGTGATGCGGCTTTGTGCTCTTAATTGGCGTGAAAGGCACGTGGGGTTGGGCTCCTGTGGCCGGGCAGTTCTGACCTTGCTTTAGGAACACAGAACTGTAGGTAAAAAAAATGGAGGCTGGAAGGGTTAGCAGAGCCGCGCTTGGGGACTCGCACCTGTACCCCCCGGTCTGCTGGGCCAGTCAGTGCATTTAGAAACATCACTTAACCCGTGTCTGCCAGCGGCCTTGAACAGCAAGCCCTGCTTCTGGCCCTGAGGGCGCAGTGAATGAAACAGAAGAGTCTGTGTTCACAGATGGAATTTTCTAGTGAGGCAGACAGACGTCAAGCAGAGAAATGCTGCAAAAGGAAGCGAGGAGTGGGGGGCTCCGATGAGGGGTGCAGCCTCTGCCAGGGTCCAGGAAAAGCCTCTCTGGCAAGAGCTGAGACCTGAAGGAGGGGAGGATGAGCCCCATGTCGGGGTGCGCTCCAGTCGGGGGCCTGCAGTGAGCTTCCAGGACTCGGGAGGACAGACGGGCTGCAGCTGAGCTCGGGGAAGTCTCAGGGGACGAGATGAGCAGAGGCCAGACTGGACGGGACCTGCAGGCTTTTGGCTCTTGCTCGGAGCTGGGGAGAAGCCTCATGTGGCCGGGTGAGCAGCGTCGGGCCCTGCGGCCAGGGAAGAAACTGACCATCTTTGCAGCAGGGGTCCAGGTCAGGGGCGAGAAGCACTGAGCCGCTGCTGTAAGAGGAGGGAGCAGCCTTGGCTGATGGGTCGGACGAGGGGTGAGAGAGAAGAGGAGCCCAGGGTGACCCCAGGAGCGGGCCTGAGCAGCCAGAAGGGTGGGAGGCGAGACGAACCGCCGGCCGCCGGAGATGTGTCGGCTTTCCGACCGCGAGACGGCTCACCCAGGGGCTGAGGCAGCGACCAGAGCGCCGTGGTCCCATCCCGGCCTCCTCTGCCCCACTGGGAGCGGCTGCCCACGTGTGACCGTGGCGTGATTGTGCGCATGGCCCCTGCGAACAGGCTGTCCATCTCGTGCGGTTTCCCGAGGACACAGGTGTGGACAGAGGAGGACACGGACATCTCCCTCGCCCACTCCTCCCTAACACGCCAAGCCTGGTCTTTTCTCCCTTTGCATCACTTTGTCATTTCCAGAACATTCTGTCAGTGGACTCAGGGGACAGGCTTTTCTCAGGCGGCGTGACTCTTGGGTGGCACAGTGGTTGGTGCTCATGGCTGGCCACTCCCTAGGAGAGTCCAGCGCCTGGCCAGTCCACAGTGGTCCCGCCCACCAACACAACAGCTCTCTCCAAACAACTGTTCTGCTAAAGGAAGTTTTTTAAAAAATTCACTTGCGCAGTTCCCGCTATCAGATTTTTCTCTATCTTTTTTCTCACTTCTAGATATATAAAAAAAAAATCTTCCCACAGTGGTATAAAGTGGGGGGTCACTGCTAACATTGTCACCCGTCGTAATGCTCCAGTGTGTCTGGAGCATTCCCTAGCGTCAGAGGGTGCTGCCGTGCTGTGTTCTGCACTGAGTGTCTCTACTTAAAGTGGAAAATGTCTTCAGTAAGGGCACACAGCCCTCCGAATAAAGGATTTCCTAAGCCCCTGCCAGCACCTGTTTCTGTCGCCGAGTGGCAGTGACGTGCTCTAGTGCCCCCGACCAGCTGCCTGTGAGTGTCAAGTCCACAAGGTCACCCTGGATGGGGCCAGAGCACCTGGTACCGTGGCTGCGTTTCAACGTTTGTCCTTTTCCAGAAAGTTAGACTCTCCCAGGGTCCTTCATGGCCCTGGGAGACCTTCCTCGTATGCAGATCCTCGACACTTGGCCAGAGTGTCAAAACAGAGCCCCAGAATTGAGGTTGGGCGGTCCAAAGAGAGGAACGTGTTTTGAGATTATTTGTTAAAGATGCATTTATTTACGCATACAAAAGCTGAGGTGCAGGAGACGAGAGGTCTCCCCAGAGACAGAGCGGGGAGCAGAACAGGCAGGTGGGCTGACCTTCACTGCTGTGGGCAGCGGGAGCCAGGAGAGGTCTGCCGCCCGGGGTCCCTCCCTGGCCGGGGATGGCACTGGCTGCGGAGGCTTCCCGGCGCTGACCCCTGCCGGAGCCGCCAGGGAGGTCCTGCCTTTGAGAGTCTAAACACACATTGCCAGGAACCCTCGGAGGCCCCGCACCCTCCCCGGGAGCCTGCCGCTCGGGGAGGCGCTCAGCGGGCGCAGGGCCGGGCACGGGGGGGCTTTCGGCAGTTCATCGGGGGGCTCTCGGCAGTGCGTCGGGGGGCTCTCGGCAGTGCGTCGGGGGGCTCTCGGCAGTGCGTCGGGGTCCCGCCCGGCTCACTCCCGCCCCGTCGCCGCAGGCCGGTGCTGGCCGTTGTGGAGGTGGAGTTGCAAGAAGTGGACGTGAGCGCGCGGGAGCGGGTGTTCCGGGAGGTGTCCTCCTGCCAGGGCCCCCTGGACGCCACCGTGGTCGTAGACCTCCAGTCGCCCACCGTGGAAGAGAAGAGCGACTTCCCGGAGGACGTGCGCGCCGAGCTCATGCAGACCCTGGGCAGCTACGGGACCATCGTCCTGGTCAGGTACCGCCTCCGCCAGCCTGGGGGTGGCCCGGCCAGGGGGTGGCCCGGCCAGGGGGTGGCCCGGCCAGGGGGTGGCCCGGCCTGGGGGTGGCCTGGCCTGGGGGTGGCCCAGCCAGGGTGCCACGGGTAGCGCGGCTGATGGGGCGGATCTCGCCCACCCAGGATCAAGCAAGGGCAGATGCTGGTGACGTTCGCTGACAGCCACTCGGCCCTGAGCGTCCTGGGAGTGGACGGCATGAAGGTGAGTCGCACGGCCGCTGGGTTCACGGGCTGCCACCCCAGGGCGTCACGCAGGGCGGGGCCATGGCTCGTGAGGGGTCCCCTCCTCTGTGTCTTTAGGGGCGGGCGGCAATGGCACCAGCAGCAGGGACCCCGTTCCCTTGCGTCGTTCTGCAATGTCCACTGAGGGGCCCAGGGACAATCCCGGGACGAGCACGTCCCGGAGGGCAGCACCCATGCGCTGCTGGCCCCTCCGGACAGCACCGTCTGGGCCGTGTGGTCCCGCCGCTCCATCTTGATGATGACGCCGATTTCGCATTCCCGTGAATGGAGAGCGGAGACAGGAGCTCACTTCCGTGGACACGAGTGGGCGCG